TTTTTTCCCAGTGATGCTGCAATGACCCAAACAACCACCAGATGGCACTTGTGAGCAGGGTTGGGAACAATGGCTTCTCACCGCTCTTTGTTCTCTCTTCACCATTTCTGTTTTTCTAAAACATACTTAGTAATTAGGCCAACACATTTAAAATAGTTGCTAGACTGTAGTAAACTTGTAAAACGCGCTGGGTGTCACACATGGCTGGGGGTATTAACGCACGGGTTGCCACTATTCATTCTATAAAAAGTCCACTTAAATTTTTAATGTAGTCCATTTAAACTTAAATGTCAGACATACATCCATGCGTTTAGCGGCAGAGGAGGGGGCAGCCACAGACGCTTCTCCCCTCGCTCCTCTGATCAGAATGAGAGGAAAACTCCTGTTGAAAATCAAAGTCACCTGATGAGCACAGGCTCTTCTGTCTTTAGGACAGATAGATTTCAGATGGAAATTGCTACTCAAAAGGCGCTCTTAGACGCTGCTGTTGTAGCGAGGGCTGACGCAGCCTCATGCCGCTCCCGATCTTGGCGGAGTTTTTGAAGTGTACAGTAACTCTACCGAATACAATTACTCAAAATGAGTATTCTAACAATTTGAAAGTTATACCAAATATACCACTTACTTTGAAATAGCATTCAGTAGCGACACTTTTAAACATAAAACACATTCTCACGATATTGCTAATACAAATTTATGATGGGGGAAAACTTTCTTTCTCCGTGTTTTACAAATATAATGGAGTTGGCTGATGAATGTCGGCTTAGTTTAAAGTAGAACAGTTCAGTCTAACTTTAGACTCAATTGTGTAATTGTCACTGCAGTGACTTGAGCTGCTACAGAGACATTTGAGCTCAATGACCGCTATGAACGGTTTGATGTCTCTGTTAAACAACATTCAATATTTTATACTTTGCTGCAGACTGTAAATGTTTTTCCTTCACTGAAGCAATTATTGCTCTGCTAATGTTTGCACTTAGTTTGCATTTTTAAAGGCCAACAAAAGGCAACGTAACGCTGCCCCATTCATTATGATTAGTCAATTGAAAAACTAAACAATATATCCAAAATCCCATCTGCTAAAATCTTAGTTACTAATATGTCAATAAAATGAAACCATACATTTTAATCTGGCGCAATCCATTATTTTTATTCCGTTGCCCAAAATATAGGCAATTTTGGTCATTTTTATGAACAACATGTTCAGAACATTTTCTTTCTTAAAGCTGCGTAGGATCTGAACTGTATTGAACTAGATTGACCAGGGCTCGAGTCCACAGGAATGTCGAAAATCCAGTTTATCTTCACATATGCAAAACATCTGATCTTGTGATTGGGACGGTACCGGGAAAAAAACACCGGGAGTGGGCGGCAGGGGGAGGGAGGGTGTGTGTGTAAAAATCCAAGCCCACTCCCCAAGATAAATAGGTGTTCAACCGATGGCCCCACGGGCCAAGGGATGTCCACGTTAGCCTACTATTAGCCTACTATTGTTAGGATTTCTATATCCAGTGTTTTGTCAAGGTGCCAATTGCTAATTTAATAAACATTTCCTCCAATGATAAAACTGAATGGATCTTGTTTGATGAGTATTGTGATGTATTCCATTGATTGCACACCAGCGCACTGAGCCAAAATGCGTCAGCGTCTCTCTCTCTCTCTCTCGCTCTTTCTCTTATTTACATCACGCCGTCCAGAGTGTTTGATAATGGGATTTATTTTAACCAATACTATTAAAACTTTGCTCAGCCAAACAGTAAATACAAGGAGAAGACCTCACTAAAAGATCACGAGAGGCAGATCGCTTTCAGAATGTCTTTATTTTCAAATTGGCATAGAATTCTATATTGACAATACATAATTATTTTAAATATATACGTTAATGCAATTTAATTATAAAGATTAACATTAGTACAAAATATGTATATGTTGTCTCTGCAACATAGAGGCTATCTACTGTATCTATCTCGAACACAGTTAATGATATAGTTGAGCTGTCTGATGATCTGAATGACTGACAAAAGCAGTGAAAATAATGGGGGTTGTGGCACAGTCTTGTTTGTCAAACGGTCGCTATTGTAAAACACACAACTCACACTGAGAGAGGGATTCAGATTGCAGACATCACTTAAGTCCAAACTTTAGCAGGACTTCTCTTGTACTGCTTTTGTAATGAGCTCATACACATGAGGAAAAGGCCAACAAAAGGCGACGTAACGCCGCCCCGCGCGTGTGATGCATTGTTTACTTTTCACTCCACAAACCCAGCGTCACTCTATCTAACCATAAAACCGTTTTACAACATATCTCTCTCTCTCTCTGTCTCTCTGTGTCTCTCTCTCTCTCTGTCTCTCTGTGTCTCTCTCTCTCTCTCTCTGTCTCTCTGTGTCTCTCTCTCTCTCTCTCTCTCTCTCTCTCTCTCTCTCTCTCTCTCTCTCTCTCTCTCTCTCTCTCTCTCTCTCTCTCTCTCTCTCTTTCTCTTTCTCTCTCTCTTTCTCTCTCTTTCTCTTTCTCTCTCTCTTTCTCTCTCTCTTTCTCTCTCTCTTTCTCTCTCTCTCTCTCTCTCTCTCTCTCTCTCTCTCTCTCTCTCTCTCTCTCTCTCAGGTGAGTGTAGCGCAGACCAGTGCACGTGGAGCTTGATAAACATGTAAACTTTAAATACAATTGGAATTCAACTCCACAATCAGCACCACCCAAACTGCAGGAATAAAAATGCCAATTTTACAACATGACATTTCCTTTTGACAAGGAAAGAAGATATCAAGCTGATAACGTTACGTAATTGCACACTGTAAATGACTCATGCTTCAGATATAGATATTGCAGTGACATTGTGGTCGGAACACTAGAAGAAGGACCTTTATTTGTCCCACAATAGGGACATTTCAGTTTGATACATACATACATACATACATACATATACACACACACATCAAGGCAAGCAGCAAACATCACTTCCGCGCTCCTTATAGGCAAAGTGGGTTAAGTGTCTTGCCCGAGGACACAACAGCAGACATCAGTGGGAGTCGGTGGAGAAGGTCTCGTGGTGGGCTCTACCAACTGAGCCACTGTCGCCCTATACGTACAATAGGATACAATACAATTAATTCTTGTATAGCCCTAAATCAGTCGTCTCAGAGGACTTAAGAAAACAATTGAAATCACCGACACAGATCAGAGATTCAACAGTTAAGACAAAAAATACAAAATAAAAACAAATGCGTTCAGTTGTTTAGATAATAAAGTTTAGCAGTCATACAGATATTACAGGGGTCCACAGTACACAATATTCAGGTCAGGAATCACAGCCCTTGTAACACCATTTTGGGTTCGGATGCACTTCAGCATTATTCTGACAATCAACTGTGTGGCTGTTTATTCAGGACATCTTTTAGCCACTCATATTTCCCATTGTGATTAAGAGTTACGCAACAAATTCATATTATTCCCTAGTTCTATCATATCCATTTAACACATTTCCTATTTTCTAGTGATTCATTTAACAAGAACCATTTTGAGTCCAGAATGAACTCACTTTAAAACTCATTCCATGTGTTTTTTTGTTTTTTTCTTTGACCGAGACAACAAATCAGCCCCATTACTCCTCCGATGTCTCTCTGGAACATTAGCCTGAGAGCAGCAGCCTTTGTATTCGCAGCTCCTGTTTGTCTACACTCTCTAACACAAGCGTTTATGTATAAAGCTGTGACATTATCGACTGTTAACGATGAATAGATTCTGTTTTTCACTTTCAAGCCCAACTGCTCTGTCGTTGTGTGAGGATGTGGGGGGTCCCGAGCAGCTTCGGTCTTTCTTTAGTCATTAAACTGCTTTGTATTTTTAATAAACAGGTTTTTGACTACTGTTTCTTTTTTAATTCCATAATTTTACCTGTATAATTATCATACGGGTCTGGGGTTTTCTAGCCACATTTCCGCCAACTTTATGAATACAAATAAACAAAACAAAGCAGAAATTCTTACACGAGCCAGAATTGAAAAGCTTGCATAGTGCATTTGCAAATACAGATATGTGCTATTATGATGTGTGATATTTGAACGAGATATTTAAGGTTAACATTTTCTGTTTGCTCAGTAAAGTTGATTCAAAAGGAAGATTTTTGTGTGCAATTAAAATAAGGTTTTACCCAATTTTGAGCAAATACTTTCAAATTCTGGGGAGATAGGTGTTTGCAAACCTTCCTGGTCATTGGGAAACCATGTGACATATTTAGTTACCACTGTTTATCTAATTTCAAGTATTTGACTATTCTTGGGTTTCATTAAACTGGCCAGTAGGGGGCAAATGAGCAGAGATGGGACAACTCACTTTTGCTCCCATTGAAAACCATGTAAAGTCTGTTTTGGAGTCAAAAGGCTCTCCTCCTGTGCGCTGTACGGTTGTTGTAACAGTCTTAATCGGGGACACTCAATTCTAAGATAGTACTAAAAAAGAAATCTCAAAAGAGTCTTGATTTTGCTGTGTTTCATTGGGGTGGCCTGCAGGGGGCGCTTATCTGGGAAAGCCTTGATCCACCGCCCGCCTCATTCCAGTGATTTTTTTCAAAGTGTTCTCCTTTATATGAGACCACAGTTGGAACATGAACAAACTCTCTCTATTTGTGCGGTTGCTACAAGCGTACACCGCACAAAAAGATGGCATTTTGACAGTGCTTCTTCTTCTACTATATCTCTGTGTATAAACCCGGCAGACTGCACCGCCAGGATACGTCACGTCCTGTCCTACGTTTGTTATTCGCGCCACTGCCCTGACGTCATATGAAACCCAAGAATTTGTAGTTTTGGACAAAGCTATATTTTTATTAACAAAATGTATAGTTAAGCAGAAATCAGAGTAAACGGAAACTATTGACGTATAAGTGTAATAAACAACATTCAACAGTGTGTGTGTGATTTGATTTTCTTCTTGGGCGAATGCTTCATGTAGTAGAGTAGATAATCCGACAGCTCTGAGAGGATTCATATTTCTCTGTGTCACAGGTGTCAGTGGTACATCAAGGCCAAGATGACCGCAGAGGACAAGAGGAGGGCCAGCTACCAGAACGGCCTGGGTAAGTCTGAATATACAGTGAAATGATCCAAACTTAAAGCTGGGGTACCTACCTTTCCAACCACAGCCATGGATCTGTGTCGTGCAATCCACAAATCCGCCCAATTGTTTCTTAATCTCAACATTTTGGTTCTGTCTCTAGCTTTCATGTGTTTTTTTTTGGCCTGTGTCACATGTAAAGGTGATAAAAACTAGTTCGACTGCAGGTCATCTGGACAAAAGCACACAGAGATTAGGCCGAAGTTGTCATTCTTAGATTTTTTTTTTCTGAATTTTTTTGTTATTTAGATATAATTGTAAATTATCTTATCTAATGCATTTGAATTGTCTTGTGCTGCCGTTTGTATGAACCGTTCTGTACAAATCAACTTGCCTTAAGACCAAATCTCACAGGAATACATATACTGTACACTTCTCCAAATTTATAATAAAATGTATACTCATTTTGGTCAACTACAATTCCAAAAAGCAGAACAACAAACGTGTAAAGTTAAAATTGTGATCAACACTTTGAAAGTTCTAATTTGTTCTTGTGAAGCCGGTCTTGTGTCTCCTCCAAACGAGAAGGTGTGGGAAGTCTGAAATGTCAAGTACAATTTTCAATCTCTTTCTTTCATTCTACTTTTATCTTTTACTTAAAGACCTTATGACGGGTTTGATTTATTTAGAAATACAGTTTTAATACCATTTTATATTAGAAGAGAACTACTAAAGGTTTCAAAATCAGTTGTTGTTTTTTTTGTCTGATCCCCCCAAATCGAAATAACCCCATAGCAACGCCCTTAGAAACGAAAAAACTTCACAGCCCTTGGTGACGTCAGAACGGGTACGTTTCAACGCTGTAAGTTGTTTACAATTTGGTATTCGTTCTTTTTTCGCGGATATTCAAGATGACAAGGCCGTGTACAGCGAGTCTAAGATAACTACTAGAATGTATCATTTCGTTGTCACTGAGATAGTCCAGTGGTTGTGTCGATGGACTGTCAATCCAGATACTTGGGTTAAAATCCCACATCGGGCACTTTTTCACACTCAAAACGGCAATTTATGTGTAGTGAGCAATTGTCACCTGTAGAGGGCAGTATTGTGTTGGGCATCAGTGGAGAGAAGAGAGAAAAGGCAGTCCTGTGGCATAGATCCATGGTTTTCAATGCATGGACGTAACCCGCTATGACGTCACACACAGGTTAGAGCATAGACAACTTAAATTCATGAAAAACACGTTCTTTTTATAAAATATAGGATTTTTTTTGCCGGAATCTCTTTCAAATTGACATTGTCATGCAATTTTGATATCCACTATTTTTTTTTAAAAAACCCGTCATAAGGTCTTTAATTTCAACAAGCTACTTTTAAAACTAGTCGCTCGGGGAAGATTGCTGTCAAGTAAAATGAGAACATGAGCGTAAATCGCGGCGGCTGGAGTGAGTTGAGCGGTAAGGTAATGCAGGAGTGTACAGTGGGTGGGCACACGCACACACGGCGGCAGGTAAGAAAATAGACTTTTGGTTTAAATGAGCTTTTGAAGGTTTCTAACAAAGTGCAGCGGTAGTAGAGTATTGCCGTTTGAAGCAGAGGCGTGTGGGAGATAGAGCAGGGAGGTCCTCAGGGAGAGAACGGAGAGGCCCAATGCATCAGAGAAAAGATATTGAGGTTTTCTGTGTGTGATATAGTATTGATTGGTGAGAGGAGGGTAGTGTCTGTGTCTGGTCCAGAGTTCACACCCAGAGACAGGCAGGTCAGGGGTCAGGGGAGGAGCAGGTAGATTGTTATTGTACAGAGACAGAAGATGTGCCTTTGTTAGTGTAGTGGAGTCACGATGTCGAGTTCCAGAAGAACATCTAATATTCCATCTGTCTATCGGGAGCCGTGAAAACAATATTTTGGACTTTGAATTTGAATCAATCAAAATTATTACAAACCTTTTAACTTTATAACTACAGTACATTATATAAACTGAAAATGGAAGAAAAAATAGATGAAGTTGGTGAAAAGATATCATGTTTACTTTGAGTGATAATTGTTTTCAGTTTTAGTCTTGGTGTCTCAATACAAATGTTGCAGAACTGTAGATTAGAGAAGCAAACACAAGGAAGCAGTAATAAAACACATACAGTAATTTAACCAGCAGTGTCCATAAACCACCTCCTCCTGAGCCAAAAACACTTGGTTCGATATAGACTTGATTTTAATAAAAAAGGATCAGCATCTTTTCTGAGGGCCTTGGATCTGAACTGTTGAAGAAATTGGATACTGTTGGATAATACTTTCAATTGGCCAAACGTGAGAGAATTCAAGCTCAGACTGTAGGATACATCAAACTTGACAAACGTGACGCACTTAAACATCTGTCCTCTGATGTAAAAGTTATATTTTGTTACAACTGTACTTAGTGTTCTGATCCAAACTACGCACATGTTTTAACTTTTCATCTTTCCAGCTGCAAAGAACCATGTTGTCCTCTGCGCTGAGCGTGAGAAAAGTTATCGGACTTCAGCTCTGGATCTACACATATTTGCCTCCACGCTCATAATCGATCGCTGTAGAAAGCTTCTGCGTTAAAATGAATTTGTCCCACCTGTTACTGGAGTGTGGTTTATTTGTTTGTGTAATGTCCAGAGACAAACCGTGGAGGAGGATACGGCTCTGCAAAAGTTGATGTAGAGAAAACATTTCAATCAATTCAGATAAATGAGAATGCTTGAAAACGGTACAAAAAATACTAATGGGTTGGGGAAAAGGTATTGATGGCCACTCTGCTATGGCCAAATAAGTCATTTGAGCAGTTCTCTTGCCTCTTTGCCTAATGCAAAACACCTTATCTAAATGTAAATCAGACAGAAAGGGCTAAAGAGTGGATAGAAGCATATGAAGGGCACAACCAGCCTCTTTATGCAATGGAGCTACTACCAACTCTGTTCTGACCCTTTTGTCATGGTTTTGTCATGGTTTTGTCATGGTGTGGATTTGGTTTTTGTTTTACTTCCTGTCTTGTTCTCCTGTGGATTGTCTGCCCCGCCCTGATGTCTTTCATGTGTCTATATATACAGTGCCTTGCGAAAGTATTCGGCCCCCTTGAACCTTTCAACATTTCGCCACATTTCAGGCTTCAAACATAAACATATAAAAAATATTTTTTTTGTCAAAAATCAACAAGTGGGACACAATCGTGAACTGGAACAAAATTTATTGGATAATTAAAACTCTTTTAACAAATAAAAACTGAAAAGTGGGGCGTGCAATATTATTCGGCCCCTTTACTTTCAGTGCAGCAAACTCACTCCAGAAGTTCAGTGAGGATCTTTGGTCGCTTGGGGTATGTCTCTATCAGTTTTGCACATCGAGAGACTGGAATTCTTACCCATTCTTCCTTGCAAAACAGCTCGAGCTCAGTGAGGTTGGATGGAGAGCGTTTGTGAACAGCAGTCTTCAGCTCTTTCCACAGATTCTTGATTGGATTCAGGTCTGGACTTTGACTTGGCCATTCTAACACCTGGATACGTCTATTTGTGAACCATTCCATTGTAGATTTGGCTTTATGTTTTGGATCATTGTCCTGTTGGAAGATAAATCTCCGACGCAGTCTCAGGTCTTTTGCAGACTCCAACAGGTTTTCTTCCAGAATGGTCTTGTATTTGGCTCCATCCATCTTCCCATCAATTTTAGCCATCTTCCCTGTCCCTGCTGAAGAAAAGAAGGCCCAAACCATGATGCTGCCACCACCATGTTTGACAGTGGGGATGGTGTGTTCAGGGTGATGAGCTGTGTTGCTTTTACGCCAAACATATCGTTTTGCATTGTTGCCAAAAAGTTCGAATTTGGTTTCATCTGACCAGAGCACCTTCTTCCACATGTTTGGTGTGTCTCCCAGGTGGCTTGTGGCAAACTTTAAACAAGACTTTTTATGGATATCTTTGAGAAATGGCTTTCTTCTTGCCACTCTTCCATAAAGGCCAGATTTGTGCAGTGCACGACTGATTGTTGTCCTATGGACAGACTCTCCCACCTCAGCTGTAGTTATCTGCAGTTCATCCAGAGTGATCATGGGCCTCTTGGCTGCATCTCTGATCAGTCTTCTCCTTGTTTGAGATGAAAGTTCGGGTCTTGGTAGATTTGCAGTGGTCTGATACTCCTTCCAGTTCAATATAATTGCTTCGCCGGTGCTCCTTGAGATGTTTAAAGCTTGGGAAATCTTTTTGTATCCAAATCCGGCTTTAAACTTCTCCACAACAGTATCTCGGACCTGCCTGGTGTGTTCCTTTGTCTTCATGGTTCTCTCTGTGCTTTAAACAGAACCCTGAGACTATCAAAGAGCAGGTGCATTTATACGGAGACTTGATTACACACAGGTGCATTCTATTTATCATCATCAGTCATTTAGGACAACATTGGATCATTCAAAGATCCTCACTGAACTTCTGGACTGAGTTTGCTGCACTGAAAGTAAAGGGGCCGAATAATATTGCACGCCCCACTTTTCAGTTTTTTATTTGTTAAAAAAGTTTAAATTATCCAATAAATTTCGTTCCACTTCACGATTGTGTCCCACTTGTTGTTGATTCATGACAAAAAATTAAAATTGTATATATTTATGTTTGAAGCCTGAAATGTGGCGAAATGTTGAAAGGTTCAAGGGGGCCGAATACTTTTGCAAGGCACTGTATGTACCTGTGCTCCTCTCTTCTTGTTGCTGGTCCACTGTCTTTGCTTGTGTAGCTTTCCTAGTTCCTGCGTTTCTTTTGTATTTTTGACTTATGATTTTACCTTGGACTTTTATTTATCATCTTCATCTGCATTCCTGTTTTTTTGGTTCTTTCTTTGTTTCACCTTGTGACAGGTTTAAGTTTCATTTTGTATTTTTTCAACCCCTATCTCTTCTCTAGTTCCACTTCCTGTTTGTTTGCCTGCTCTCATGTGTATCACCTGTGTCTCATTGTGTTTTTCATGTTTGCCTTCGTCCCCTGTTTAGTTATTTTAGTTGCTTTTATTAAATTACTTACTCATTTAATCTATCCATGTGACACCTTTATTTTCTTATAACTTAACACTCCCAGAATATATCTGATCCAATTTGTGAAGTTCTACAGTCTTAGATTTTTTTTTTTTTAAATTCGGCTTTTATTGTTAATACATGCTAAAACTGGTTAACATAAATTAAATGTAGCTAACTAAATGCTAACCGCTGCATGTAAACAGTGTGTTGCTATGGTGACTATCACTCGCTCCAAGCTGAGATTGCTCTGAATCTCAAACCAGTCTAGGATCGATATCATTTCATAAACTTATCAACATCGAAATCATTTACATTTAGATACAGAAGTTATGAAGATCAAAAACGTGCATAAGGTCTGAGGAATTCTCGTGTTAAAGAAATAAATGTACATACATGCAGACAAAACATATACAGGGATTTCCTTCAATTTATGACTTGTTTTGGTAAATAAAAAAGTATATCTTGTATAAAACTGCAGCCATTACAATCAACATGTATTGGGTAAAAGACGTAATCCAAGCCAAGTTCTGTGTTGACATTTCTCGGAGTGTGTCGTCTCTGATGGAAAATTAAAATAACATAATTGCATTTGGCTTCGTCTCTGGCTCCTTCCCTAAAGTGCTGTTTTTGGCCCATTAAGTAACATCACCAGCACTGTTTGGAAAAAGAAGCCGCAATTTGTCACTCTGGCTCTGGACAAATTTTTGGATATGTTGTATTTGCTATAGGTTTACCTGCTCGTGTCAGGAAGAAGGAGGACGGCAAGATGGCTCAAACAGAAGTAATATCTCAACGTTGGTGGTCAAAACAACTTAAAAGCCTCGAATATCTTTTGTTGAGCAAGAGAAATAGCTTAATTTTCATGTTTTTTGGGGAAATCTGCATCCGAAAAACACAAATAAAATATAATCAATTAATTCAAAGATGTATGAACTCATCTTTCTAGTTTTTCCAATGTATTTGATTGAATAAGAAAATGACAGCGCTGTATATGAATTGCGTGGCTGTTGGTTCATGTGTTATGTATTTTTTAATGTAACTTTGGGAAAAATGGACGAATCACATCACAAGGTCAATCCTAAAATAAATGATGCAGATGTATGAAAAAGGACATTTAACTGTAACCTGCCACGTTAAAGTTTACTCATAGTATCAAAAATCTTACACCACTTTTAAGGTGGAACTTTTCTCCATGGAGATAGAAGCGTAACAGTATTTTCAACACCACAACAGAACATCAGTGATGGTGGGCGGTGAAGGCGGTGAAGAATTACACTTACAAGTAGTTTCACTTTGTTTTAACTCTATCTGAGCTATTATAAGGTTGTTTTTCAGCGTTTCAAAAAGACCTGGTTTTTGTAGTTGTGTAAAAAATCCAGGAGGCCCTAGAGTGCCCTCAAATAGTCAAGAATCAAGATTTTTTTTGCCATTTGCAGTAAAACTACATTGGAATAACTGTGCAAGACCCCAGTGTGCACCCAATCTTAAAAGGGGCGGGCTTATGTGGGCAGGTACAGCTGTGGGCAATTGGGCAGAATATATTGGGTTACGTCTCGTTTGGGGAGTTCCATTTGTTTGTGTTATGTTCTTATGAAGTTAACATTTGCTTTCTGTAAAGTTCCATTCTTTGGCCTGTTTGTGTTTATGACCAACAAACCATTTTTTGGAAGATTTGAGCCTTTGTCTTGGTTCTTTACTGCTTGGTCCCTAACAGAGTCAAATCAGATATATTCCGAAATCCCATAACCACATTGTATCCATGGATAAAGATTCATTCATTCAGATTCGACATATCTACGGTGTCTTGCATAAGCAGCCTACACCACGTCATTGAACCAGTTTATTGTGTATATATACAGTATGTAGGATTTAAGTATCAACGTTCTCACATCTGACACTTTCAATGTGTTAAATATATCATTAGTATTTTGGCTTATATAACGCCTTTCACAGACCAGAGTCACAAAGCGCTTTACAACTGAGGCCATTTGTCTCTCCCTCCACACAGAGATGGGAGCGAGGTTGCCAGACAGGAGGTGCAGGCCAGACCTACTGTACAGGTTTTTTAGTGTTAGGCAAAAACGAAGCGCCCGGAGGAAACCAACGCAGACACGGGGAGAACATGCAACCGGTATTGGAACCCCGGGAGCTTCTTGCCGAGAAGCGAGAGTGCTATCCATCAACTCATATTTGTATACAAATTTTGAATGGTATAAGGGTCAAGTACTAAATTACAAGCACTGGTTCTCCATTAGTGGTGTGAGGGTAAGTGTGGATTTCATTTGGGATGGTTCTTGGTTCTACTGTTGTACGGCTGAAAAGATCTAAAAGCATCACCGATAATATTGATGTTGTTGTGTGCAACGCTGAGTCACGAGTCTCACCTGCCAAACTTCACTTGTGCCGACGTTGTGGCTTTGTGGAATTGAACCAATAAACAAATCTGGATCTAGCTCATTACAACCTCTCATAAGAGCATCGTAAAGCGCTTTGTGTTACCTTGGTCTGTGAAATGCGCTATATGAATAAACATGACTTACTTTCATAGTCAAAGTTCTACAGTTTACAAAGTCATGTGACGTAGCTTAGTTTCGTTTGTTATCGTTTGTCACATGCAGTGAAATTCTTATGCATCTCCAGCAAATGTTCAGTACAGTCTTTGCTACACACAATAACAGAATAATTACACTGAAACAGAAAGAGAGTAGGTTTAGGGCCTTATGGCTTTAGGGAAGAAACTCCTTCTCATCCTCTAAGAAGAAGAAGAATAAGGTCTTTTATTCAACCCACAATGGGGAAATTTCTGTTTGATGCATATACATTATACATATACATATACACATCAAGGCAAGCAGCAAACATCACAAAGGTACAATAGTAGTATTTTTAGTAGTTTTTACCCCCATCTAGCGTTGGGATCATATATTGTAATCTACAGTACAACGGTAGCTTCAAAAGACAATATGTGGTCTTTGACAGTGGTCCCCAACTCCTGTTCAAACTCCTTTTTGTCCCTTATCAACCTCTGTATTTCAAGATGGTGCATTGGCACAGAGTCCTCCAGCCTCATGTACATTTATAACTCAATTTCTAAGTCTATGACAACAATTAAAAAACATGGTGGAGGTAAATATTCTTTAAAAGATCGCATTTGTTACTGGTCAACATGTTTTTTTGTTTCGTTTGAAGCAACAGTAAAAGTTACACTGAGTACCTTTAAGCAGATGATAGCGCCTCACAAACGGCAGCAGCCTGAACAGTCCATGATCGGGGTGGCTGCGGTCCTGTTCGCTCTTCTGGTCTCTCCGGTGGTCTACCCGTTTCCCACACTGGGGCTGAAAACTCTTCCAAACTATCTACATTAAATTATTCTACAAGTTTACAGTTTGTTCTTGGGGTATTGGTCAAAATAAAACATCTATAAATGTAGTTGTAGGGTTGGTTGGAAGGCATGAAAAACCTTATTGTAAACAACAAGGCAATATTGTTCAAGCCTGTAAAAAGTCAATCATGCATAATAGATCAGATTTTGTTTTCTTATAGGTAGTAGGTATGTTTTATTTATTTTCAGAGACATTAAACATTAAACATTCAAACTTAGTTAAAAGGAAATATAAAGGTTATACCAGAAGATGCACTGGTTAACCTGCACATAGTCTCTAAAGGCTGTTTTAATTGTGGTCCAAAGGGGTAAAAAACTGCCCTTCTTTCATAAGCAAACACAGTTCTTATATATTTCTTTTTAAATGCTTTACAACTGTTACATATTCATCACTTTACTGATTTTTCCCAGTTCTTTATCTTCACATTGTCTCTGTGGCCTGCTTAGGTGCTTAGAGAGAGCACCCCTGACTCTCATTATGTGTGTGTGTGTGTGTGTGTGTGTGTGTGTGTGTGTGTGTGTGTGTGTGTGTGTGTGTGTTTGTGTGTCTGCAGTGCCGTTCCCGGGGATAAAGACCTACGTCGACCCTGACACCTACGAAGACCCCACTCAGGCCGTGCACGAGTTCACCAAGGAGATAGACCCGTGTCGCATCCGCATCGAGAGAGTGATCGGAGCCGGTGAGACGCAAAACTCAAGAGACATAATACACACATTGTTTTTATAGCATACATAGAATAAAAGCGGACGGAACTGAACTGGCCATCAATCAATCAATCAATCATAGTTTAGGGTCTATTTGTGTTGTAAACTTGCCGTTGATAAAGTCATTTTCAGCTTATTTTTAATTGTAGTGCAAATTTAAAACAGCCAATGCATGAACAGTAAAGCACTAATAAATAATAAAGTCTCTTTTACTTATATTTTTGCAAAGCTGAAATATTTCTCCCGCTTTTTCTGCATGAATCACCCGTTTGTTTCACACCACCTTTAAATCTGCAAAGTTTCACACATACAAAGTGTTGCGAGGATTATTCATCATGCTAGGATCTATGTTATGGAAAATCATCTTTTTTTATGTTCTTTCAAATTTGTCCTTTAACCTTTTCTTTTAACAACGTATTTTCTAGTAGTAAAGCGAGTCAAAACAATGTATTATGCATCACAAATAAAAACACCAGCCGTCTGCAAGGACTTTTACTTATCGAAAAAAACAAAGAAATTAGCTCTAAATTTAACATCAACTCAGATTTTCTTTTTTTTATATACTTTATTGTGTCATCTTCATTATTTCACACTTTTTTAATAATACATACGGCTTATCAAAATTTAGTTTTTTCCATTTCCCCCCCCCCCCCCACTTTGCTCCACTTTTGTCAAGAGATGGGTTAAACAGAACAAAGCAAAACAAATAAATGAATAAAAAATATAAAAATAAATTAATAAAAAAATTAAAAAAACAATATCAAAGTAAATATATAGAATATTATAAACAATAGATGATTATTCCTACGGCTATATGTTGAATAGTTTTTATATCATACTGACAAATAGACAGAATGTGATGTTGGTTTAGTCAGTCGTCCTCTACTGTGTCCATGTGTCCAATGTCCACATTCATATATACATACACACACACACATACCCATACACACACATACTGTAGACACACAACTCAGACTCTGATTTTCTTTGTCACAAGAAGAAAAAATAAAATGTTGTGGACAAATCTGACTAGAACACGCAGTCTTTGTTTATTTTTTTCTTCTTTTTTTTGCGTATATATTTGTAAGAAAGAGACCTTTAGATCAGATGGATATGTAATAATGCAGTAATAATAACAGGTAAAGTGACTATTGACAAAGTTACTAGTGAATTATCATCAGTGACACTTGTACAGACTCAGCAGTTCTTGTTATACATTCTCGTTGTACAGTCTGACAGTAGGAGGAAGGAAGGACAGCCGCACTTGAGAGTCAACATTTGACACTGAGAGCTGATTGGCTGAGTAAGCGTGGTCCTCTCTTTTTCAATTTTCTGTCTGAAAAAGCTTAAGATGTTACAAAATAGTAGTGATAGAACCAGTGTTTTGAGAGTAAGGAACTAGTTAGACAGATGTTATTACATAATTAAATTTTTTTGCAGTTTGAAAGTTAGGTGACCCAGCTTTAATCATAGGTCTTCACATCAAATAAACTATTCCAGGTTAAAAAATAATCCTTATAAAAGCCAGTGCTGTGGAGAAACTAATCAATACAGGGCACTTCACATGAGATGGACATTGCAACACTGCCCTCCGGTGGTGATTTATGGTCATATTGTAATGTTTTCTTTGTGCAGGGGAGTTTGGGGAGGTGTGCAGCGGTCGCCTCAGGACCCCCGGGAAGAAGGAGATCGCTGTGGCCATCAAGACTCTGAAGGGAGGATACGTGGAGAGGCAGAGGCGGGACTTCCTGCGAGAGGCGTCAATCATGGGCCAGTTTGACCACCCCAATATTATCAGGCTGGAGGGAGTCGTCACCAAAAGTAAGTCTAATTGTGAGTGCAGAAGAAATGTATAATTAATTGTCCTACACACACCATGCTATCTTAAATATATATTTTGCAAAGTTGTAAGAAGGAAAGTCCCACTATAGGGACTTAGAATGTCTGCTCGCAAACATGCCTTGTATTTTACAGGCTTCAGTATGGGTGGACCAGTTTACAGAGATCGCATGTAAAGCACTTTATTTTAATTTGACTCAGTGGGTAAAAACTGGGCCATGGATTGTTTTGCCCGTTAGCTATTTGTCTGATTCTTTAATGACTTTAGAAGAACCACAGGTGTGAATAAATGTCAGCTAAGCCAATGGAATCAGCCACACTGTAGGTACTCGACTTTTTATTATAGCGTTATTACTAGTCTTTTATTACTGCTACATGTACAGATGCAAACACACAACTGTATATTACTGTCACGAGATGATACAGCATTTTGCTTCTTATTATGCTAAAGTCAGGGTTTTTGGTACTTCTCCATTATGCTAAAGTTTGAGAGTATAAAACTTATTCAGACTTATTCATATATTTTAGCATATTTGGACTGCTTCTCTTTATTTTCTTTTGATTTTATTTTATATCAATTTACTATTGCGTTATTACTCACTTATCCTGTGCTGTGTGCTCCCCATTGGATTGGATTGGATTGAACATAACAACTTTACCGCTAAACTCACAGGTCTTCAAGCATGTGCTACAAAACCTGTGTGCTTTGTTCTTGCTAATCTTTGTAGATCTACAGAGATAAACCGACCGTAGCTTTTGAGGATGCAATGTGAGCGACAGAATGCATTGTGGGTATAGCATCATATCTCCTGACCGCCCCAGATCCCAGTGTTAAAAAGAGCGAATTAAAAAAGCCCATTTAGGTGTTTACTTTTCCCAAACTCTATCTCCCAATTTGGATTCTCCTCGTCATGGCGGAGGGAACACCAAATTCCAGGTCAAGGAAACGAATTAGTGGTATTCAGATGAAAGGTTTGTCTTTCAGAGAGTACATGTCCAGCTCATGCCAGAAATGTGATGAAAAAGAAACGTGATTGGTTGATTTACATATTACTATTACTATTAATACATATACTAACTCTGAATCAATAATAATACATTTTATTTAAAAGTGCCTCTCAAAAGACTGGACACTGTACAAACATGGTTAAAAACAGAGTGCAATTAAAAACATTAGCATTCATAAATAACAGAAAATTACAGAACAGGACAAAGGTGTTGGGGTGTCATGTGTGTTTAAAAAAAATATATATATATTCTGAAAAGGTGAGTTTTGAGTTAATATTGCTATTAATTACTTCTATATATGAACTGTTCAGCTGCATTTGAAGATTACTCTTTCTGCACACACCAGATTCACTCCTGTACTCTCCAACTAACTCTGCCAAAAGTTTACTGCCTTCTTCTTCTAAAGTAAATGGTGTAAATTGTCACTTTTTGCACCTTCACTCGCATCACTCACGCTTTTCAAACAGCATTATAGCAACACAACTCGGCACCCACAGGCGTTCTATAGGTGTTTTCACAGCTACACACATAAACAAACATGCATCTTCACTGACTGCATCTTCTGAGGTCCATGTGGCCACAGAAGCTGTAGCATGTGCATGTTAATGATTGTTTTACAGGCCTCACCTCCTGCAACATATGGTTGTTTTTACAGCGTCAGTATAAAGCAGAACGTGACGGTGAATATCAATGTGTCCCCCGGAGACTTGTGTGGAAGTAGAGGACGCTCTCCAGCCGTGACCCGCAGACAATCAAAGAGGATTTTCGAAAACCCTGGGTCTCGTTTCTGCGGTAGCTCTTCTAACAACAGATACACTGCTTCGATAGGTTAAGTGCGGGTTTTTCATGCGTCGGTCTGAAGGGAAATGTAAAGACCTCTTCAGCCTCTATCTCTATCTTTGAGCAGTATTTAAGACGGCTTTGTCAAACCAATGTAATATTATGTAAAATACGCCTCGTCACAGTAGAAGAAGAACGCTCCATTGATTTTAATGTAATTTCAAAACTTTCTACCGGTCATAACGAAACCAATAATGACAACGCATTTTGTGCTTCATGTGTGTCTGGTCACTTTGCAAGTAGTCTGGCCCCTTTGTCAACGAGCTTCTGGAAATAGACAGACAGCGTTATCTATCCAGATCTTAGGAATTGCTCCTGAGGTTAACAGGAGTCTGACTTTCCACTTACCCAGAGACACACCACCTCCTCATCTCCAGCTGCACAAAAACATCCAGTTTAATAGAAATAAGTAGCTAGTTTAGCTGGCTAGGCGAGTAACAGGGAACTATGGGAACTATTTCATTTGCAGTCATTAAATAAAGCGTTCTGCAGCCATAAACGTTCATTTTGTGTGTTCAGTTGCCGTATAAAAAGCGGGAAAATGTATAGAACGCTGGCCAGTACTTCCAGGGCTCAGTCCAGTTTCCCCTGCTGTTGGTACTTATTTTCCGATAATGATCTGCGTTCTGTACATCATCCTTTACTCAGGCGTTACTCATTAATCAATGCAATTTAATGTGTATGTATATATGACTGGGAAATCTGTCCCTTATATTCAAGTCTATTCATGGAAAATTATATATAGGACGGTCTAAATACTTTGGCACACCACCAAGGTTTTTAATGACCTTAAAACTACCTGTTGAAAAAAATCCTTGTTCTAGAACGCTCTTGTCCATTTCTCTATTTTTCTCATTTCTCCACTGTGGCTTCATCTTCAAAAATGGACGTGGGAGTCTCTGGAGATTATGTCAGAAGTCCCACTTCTGGTTTTCCACCCTATTTTTATCCTGTCTCTTGCATATAGTGTTATACCATCACTTGTCTTTCACATCCACACAGAGACCTTCATCTCATTTGCAGTTCTTCTATTTTCACCACAATCACAAAGAACTGGTGTTAGCTGCTAACGCTGGGAACATTGTTTGACTGTGAGGTAGTGTACACCGACTGTTTTTGTTCAATTACATTTTTAATACCAACATCTCCCTATCAGTGGTTCTTAATCTTGTTGCAGGAACCAAACCCCACCAGCTGCATTTGTGCATTCATCGAACCCCTCGAGGGAAAAATAATCCGGGATTTTTTAAGACAAAATATCCCATTGTAGTTTTCTGGATGAAATAGGGTTAACGTCGTGTAACTACTGTATATATTTGCCTTCTATCTCTCAGTCTCACGCTAATACTTCTCAGTCCCTCCTTTTTCTTACAGTTCTTACATATTCCCCACGTTTATCTCTCCGCCCTCAAACTCTCCCAGCCGTTGTTTCTTTTCCCGTCGGCGCTCACATCTGTTGTTGTTCTTCGGAGACTAATTATGCAGCGTATTGTGCTGTGACTGACGACCATACCTGCCATCTAAGAGCAGGTGACGCATTAGGACCGAGTAAACAGGTGTGTTTGTTTTTTCGTCCAATATCCACTCTGCATAACTGGATAATACTCCTACAGCACGACAGTTATCTCAGAAAGATAAAACTAATCCATTGCTGTCACTATTGACTAGGTGTAAAAACAGCAGTCTATGAACTATTTTGAAATGTAAATGATCCAAATGAAACTTATCTCATTTAAAGCCATAAACTTGTTTTTACTACCTACGAGGGCGTGTCTTATTTGACGAGGTGTTTATACCTTATCACATTGTTTCCCAACCCGGGGTACGCGGAGCCCTTGGGGTATATGAGGATATTGCAGTGGGCACTCGAGATGATTTCCAAAATTTGACAACACTGATGAGAGAGAAAGTGGTCATTTTTCTCAACGAAACCACCACATGTATTTATTCTATTATAAACATTGTATCCAGAACTTCTTTACTTTTGATTGAGTTTTGATTCAGTCCATTCATGCACTCATTTTGTTCAGAGAATACTAAAAGTCAGGTTAAAAAGAGGCATTAATTTAGTCAAAATGGGTGCTTTTGTTGAACAACACATGGTACTCTAACCCTGACTATGCAGACAAGGCCAAAAAGGTCTGGAGCCACTGCCCTAGAGCATCGTGAGCATCCTGTAGTGGCCACTGGACACAGAGTGAACGTTTCAGTACAAAAAGTATCATTAGAAAATCCTTCATCGTGCATTATGTATGTGCAAATCGACTCTGCGCCAACTGCAATGTGGCAGTAATTGCAAAAGAAAATATCTTTATGCAAAGGTGGAGTTGGAACAGATGTGTTTTAATTGTGTCATAAAAGTCCCTCTCTTGGAGTGTCATCACACGCCCAAGTCACTTCAGCTCGTGTTATTTCTAATCCTTCATTTCCCACAGAAATCAACTCTAGTAAAGATATTTTTTAAATACATGTCTAAGTATTTATTCTATTTTAATCTAATCTGAAGTAACAATATTCAAAGTACGTCAGTCTTTTCACGCTGCACATTTGACTTTGTACATTATTACCGCAGTTCAGAATCATTTTTATTGCCAACGTAAGTAACGGGAGGTCACAGACTTGGAAATTGCTTTGGCTCAGTGCAACAGTCAAAAAGAGATAATAAAAATAAGAATAAAAAACACTTCTAAAGAATAAATTTAAATTTAAAATAGAGTTACAGTTACTATTTACAATATACAAGTGCACATGGTGCACAACAATGTAAGGTGACAGCAGTACAGTGAAGTAAAGTGACGTATGATGGGCAGTAAAGTGACTTTATAAAGGGCGGGGGGACAGGTTAAGAAGTGTTCAAGAGTCCAACAGCAGAGGGGAAGAAACTGTTCTTGTGGCGGGAGGTTCTAGTCCTGATGGACCGCAGCCTCCTGCCTGAGGGGAGTGGTTGGAATAGTCCATGTGCAGGTGAGAGGGGTCGGCTGTGATACGACCAGCCCGGCCTCGAGCTCGGGCGACGTACAGGTCCTGCAGCGATGGAAGGCTGCGGCCGATCACTTCCTCTGCAGAGCGCACAATGCGCTGTAGTCTCTGTTTGTCCCTGACTGTGGCTCCAGCGAACCACACGGTGATGGAGGAGGTGAGGATGGACTCGATGATGGCCGTGTAGAACTGCACCAACATCTGTGCAGGCAGCTTGGCTTTCCTGAGCTGCCGCAGGAAGTACATCCTCTGCTGGGCCTTCTTGATGAGGGAGCTGATGGTCGGCTCCCACTTGAGGTCCTGGGTGATGGTGGTGCCCAGGAAACGGAAGGACTCCACAGAGGTGATGGGGGAGTCCATCACGGAGGGTGGGGGCGGGGGGACAGTGCTCTTCCTGAAGTCCACAATCATCTCCACTGTCTTCTGGGCGTTCAGCTCCAGGTTGTTACCACTGCACCAGGACACCAGCCGGTCCACCTCCCTCCTGTAGGCGGACTCATCGTTGTTGGAGATGAGTCCAATGAGGGTGGTGTCGTCCGCGAACTTGATCAGCTTCACGGAGTCGTGGCTGGAGGTGCAGTGGTTGGTGTACAGGGAGAAGAGCAGGGGAGAAAGAACACAGCCCTGTGGGGCTCCTGTATTTATAATCCGAGAGTCCGAGACATTCTTCCCCAGACGCACTCGCTGCTTCCTGTCCGTCAGGAAGTCAGTGATCCACCTGCAGGTGGAATCGGGCACGTTGAGCTGGGAGAGCTTGTCCTGGAGCAGGGATGGCAGGATTGTGTTGAAGGCAGAGCTGAAGTCCACGAACAGGACCCTGGCGTAGGTCCCCGGGGAGTCCAGGTGCTGTAGGATGTGGTGGAGGGCCAGGTTAATGGCGTCGTCTACAGATCTGTTGGCTCTGTAGGCGAACTGCAGGGGGTCCAGGAGGGGGGAGGTGAGGGACTTGAGATGGGAGAGAACCAGGCGTTCAAATGACTTCATGACGACAGACGTAAGTGCTACAGGTCTGTAGTCATTGAGTCCTGTGATCCTGGGCTTCTTCGGGACGGGGACAATGATGGAGGATTTGAAGCAGGCCGGGACATGGCAGGACTGCAGAGAGGTGTTGAAAATGTCCGTGAACACAGGAGTAAGCTCACTGGCGCAGTGTCTCAGAGTGGCCGGAGACACGTGGTCCGGGCCAGGAGCTTTGCGGGGGTGCAGCCTCAGGAAGAGTTGTTTAATCTCTTTAGCGGCTATTGTTAGGCTGGGGGCAGGGCTGATGGGTGGGTCGTTAGAGTAGTGGGGGGTGGGGGAGGGAGAGGTGTCAGGGGCAGCATCAAAGCGACTGAAAAATAAGTTCAGATCGTCAGCTAGCTTGTGGTCGTCAGCACAGGGGGGGGCTTTGGGTTTGTAGTTGGTGATCTCCCGTAGGCCCCTCCAGACAGAAGCAGTATCGTTGTTACCAAACTGCTCCTGTAGTCGTTCTCTGTGCCGGGACTTGGCTGCTTTCAGTTCTTTCCTGAACTGATATTTAGCTGCTTTGTAGCCGCTGCGGTCCCCCTCCCTGAAAGCAGACTCCTTTGCTTTCCTGAGCTGCCGGAGTTTAGCAGTGAACCAGGGTTTGTCGTTGTTATAGATGACCCTGGTCCTTGTTGGAATGATGCTATCCTCACAGAAGTGGATGTATGACGTCACAGTGTCCGTATATTCATCCAAGCTGTCTGTGGCAGCTCTGAAAAGGTCCCAGTCTGTAGATTCCATGCATGCGCGCAGCTCTTCCACAGCTTCATCAGACCACACTTTGGAGCTCCTCACTGCAGGTTTCGAGAGCTTTAGTCTCTGTCTGTAAGCAGGAACCAGATGTATCATGGAGTGATCTGAGAAGCCGAGGGCTGGCTTGGGAACAGCGCGAAAAGCTCCGCGCACGGTGGTGTAACAGTGATCCAGAGTGTTCTCCTCTCTGGTCGGGCATTTGATAAACTGTCTGTATTTGGGTAATTCCTGGCTCAAGTTTCCCTTATTAAAATCCCCCAGGATAATAATCAGAGAGTCCGGGTATAAGCGTTCCATACACAGTACTTGCTCTGCGAGTGCGCGCTGAGCCTCGCGCGCGTCCGCGCATGGCGGTATGTAAACAGAGGCAAGAATGAATGAAACAATTTCCCGCGGGGAGTAATATGGTTTACAATGAATGAAAAGATATTCCAGAGCAGGAGAGCAGTGCTTGGAGATCACTGTCACATCGTTACACCAGTTTGTATTGACGTAGAAACAGAGCCCTCCGCCTCTGCTCTTCCCTGAGAGCGCACAATGGCGATCCGCGCGAAACAGCCCAAAGCCCTGCAGCTCCAGAGCGCAGTCCGGGATCCGCTCATTTAGCCAGGTCTCAGTGAAGCAGAGGACACAGGATGTGGCGAAGTCCTTGTTTCTTCTCATGAGCAGGCTGAGTTCGTCCATCTTATTGCCCAGTGAGCGTACGTTGGAGAGAAAAATGCCGGGGAGAGCCGTGCGCGCTCCTCTCCTCCTAAGACGCACGAGCAGGCCTCCTCGCTTTCCCCTTTTACGGGCCCACACTTTTTTGGCTAGAACATGAACTAAATCAGCCGCAGATGCCAAGAAAACAGGCAATAGGTCCATGGGAACGGTGGGTCGGATGTTCATAAGTTCCTCACGGGTGTAGGAACAGCCAGATGCACAGTTAAAAAGTAAAAACAAAAGAAAAAGAGAGCAGCAAAGAGCCATGTCGACCGTACGAGGCGCCATCTTGAAAAATATGGCGCCTCGCTCCAAACGGGTAGGCGCCTCGCTCCAAACGGGTAGGTTGTAGTTTGGCAATGGCGAAAAATGCGATAGTAAAGTAATCCGGTCTGGTTCTATCAAGAAATTGAAGCCGGAGCAAGAGGAATGTTTAGCAAATGTAATCGCTGGTCAAGATTGTGGCGCTACTCCCCACAGGCTCCGTTAGCTGCAAAGGAGATGGCTAGGCTAAATGCCAAATGCTAACAACAGACTCGGGCGCATTACATACGTGACGGTAAACTCAGATCCAATCGTGTCAATCTGCAAAAGTAGTTAACCCCTCCCACCTGTTCACAAAGCTCAATGGAGCAAATCCAGACCTTATTACGAAATGTAATTTGTACTATGGTGTGTTATGACCAGTCTAGATTAATACATGTATTAACAGATTATTATTTTAAATATGGGCCATTCAAATCATCATTGACAAGTTTGTTTGGACACTTGGCATGAAGAGGGTACTGGACAAAATGTGTCAACCTCTTTTTATTTTGTGGTAAAACAGGGCTAAAGATTTGTATTTGTATTTATTCATTGGTATCTTTCATGAAAATGCTCTGTTCACATACATTGTTTACATAACCATAGTTACAATATATACAGTATTTTAACATTTACATGAAGGAAAAACTGCTGTAAAATAAATTCTGGGAAGAAATGATCATAATTGACCATTATGATCAATGACCATTGATCATAAAGTATTCTAAAAAGGAAAACGAAAGAGTAGACGAACAAGGGTTTCCAGTCTGTCTTGTGGGCGTCTATCATCCCAATGCAAAAAAGAAAACCAGTAATATGTGTCAAGTCTATAGGTAAACATCTGAAAATCTGTTGAACTTAAAATACATGTCAAATTAATGGTAAGTAACAAACTTAACCCAAATAATGTGTTATATACAGTTACACGGCAATCACTTACAAACTGCATTTTTCTAAATGTCTAAACTCTGCTCTCGTTTTCTCCTTCCATGACCAATTCTTCATCATAATCCCAGGTTCTATCTTAATCAATGAAGTCGTCAGCGTTACTTGGAGCCCTCTTCATCCTCTGGTGATGTCTTCATTGTTGTGTCAGGGTCAGGCGAAGTTCAGAGCTCCGTGCACCTCAAGGGGAACGCCTTCACACCAGCCTGCTCCAAGAGTGACCCAATTTTTACTATCTCCGCTTTCCGCTTCCTCGACATTGGATTAAGTCTATCCACAGGATGGTTGTGGATGTCTGTGAGTGCGTGTGTGTGCCTGTGTGTGCCTGTGTGTGTGTGTGCGAGAGGAGTTTCGACAGCGTGACTAACAAGCTTGCCGGTTGCACTTCCCAGATTGAGAGACACCTACTGCCAGCTCAAGTCTTTTGTATCCTGGGGTCATCACTGCCTTCTGCTGTTGGTGTTGGAGAAGCAACTGAAATGGGATTAATACTAAGAGAAAGTGAAATAAAATGGTTTCCAAATTGTGGAGCATCACCCCCCCTTACCAATCAGAAATATCCCCCGGGGCTCCCAAATATGAAATCGCACTTTACTTTGAAGAATAAGTGATGGTTTTCCTTTTATATTTAGACCAACACATATGAACATAAGTTGTGCTTCTTGCTTTAATAAGTACTGGTTGTGTGGACAAGCATACGGGGGCCCCTACTGTCTGCAGATCCCTCTTTTGGAAGCACTGGAACAGAAAATTTCTTGTAAGCAAAGGGTTTTTTATAGTTAGAAAGTCACTGCCGAGTGGGTAAGGCTCAGGCCAGGGCAGGTTCAGATCCCTTCCTGGAGTTTGCATGTTTCTCCCCAGACCTGGGTAGATTTCTTCTGGGTATTCCGGTTTCCTTCACCACCAAAACATGCACCATAGAAATGTCCTTCGTCAGTAGTCCTGACCGGGCATCAACATCCATCTACCCGACCCGCCTGGGAGTGCATCGGCCCTGCACCGGACCTGTCCACGTTCAGCGGCCACTGGTCCACGTTCTGTAGCTAGCTTAGGTCCTAGATCATTAGCCTGTCCGTCCGGAGGAGCGGATCCCTTTCTCATATGGGTCTCCCTCCCTGTGGGTTTCCCTAGTTCTCCCCAAGGTTTCTCACTTTTTCCCACTGGGTTTTTTAAGAGTTTTTCCTTGTCGATGCAGGAGGGTCTTGTTGGACAGTTAGTGTCCAACAGAAAGGATTGGTGATGATCAGGACACTTTAGCATTCTACAACATGTATGGACATTTTCTTCTGTGTGTGCTTTATATTCTCCATGTGTTTTAACTGTTGATTCTCTGACCTGTGTTGGTGATTTCAATGGTTTTGTTAAGTCTCTGAGATGACTTCTGTTGTGACCTAGGGCTATACAAGAATAAATTGTATTGTATTGTATTGTATTGTGAAAGGCGCAATATAAATAAACTTCACTTAGTTATAGCACCATGCTGATTACCATTTGTAGTCCTTAACTGGGACGGATATATTCAGATTGAAACACATTTAGAATTCAATTAACTGGCTAACAATAGCTTCAATATTCCCACAACAAATTATACAAAATATGGATACTTCAGAATCTCAAAGCTGCAACAATTTACTGCAATATATAAATATCTAGAGCCCGAATTAAAAGGCGTTTAATTATTCCAGAGATAATGACTGGCACAGGGTCAAGATGGAGTCGGCACTGACCTCCAGTCACACTTAAGATAGCATCAGGACGCCTTAATTAAAAAGCACTTCCAAAATCCTATCCGTCACCATCTTCCTAATAAAGCCCCTTATAAATCATTCTCAACAAGTTTTTAAAAAGACATCAAAATTCTGAAAAGACTGGATTTTTTTTTTTTTTTTAAGTCTGTGAGACAAACAAGCTGCCAAGGAGACTAAATAAAGTCATCAAGTGAATGTGAACTCGCCATAACCTCGGATTTTTTTTTCTTCACAGATTCCTCCTTACAGCAGTCTCACGCTGACGAATACCAACTTTCATTTGTGACAACTTTGCACTTCAATCCAGGTCTGTGATGTCTATCTGGGCCATGTTGAGCTATACGTACCCCCTTTTTATGACTAATTCACTTTGTCGCCACGGAAATAGAACACACGCGTTTACGAAAGAGGACGGGAAGTTGAAAAGTAGCCGAGTTTGACAGGATTATGCTCCAGGAAAGAAAGAGGGAGAGAGGGAAGAAAACATCAGACATTGTCACTTGCTTTTGTTTTTTTTGAGACTTACCCGCGTCGAGACAGGCGAGCGGCTATGTATGCATGTATGCAGGGCGCCGCTACGTTTGGGAGTTTATTTTTTCCCCCCCGCTTTCTTTGATCACTTCCCAGCTTTGAAGTGAAGAGGGAGGGGGTAGAAGCGGAGGAAGAGGAGGGGGAAAAAATATGAAGAAGTCACCGCAAGTTCACACCATAACTAGGACTGCAATCTGCATAATTTATTCTTTTCGACAGATTCGGAAATAGAGAAAGCGATGAGGAGGTGTCTGTGATGCCGCCCAGACCCCCGCTACTTGACAATTCCCAATTAAGCGTTCTCCCTATTCACATTTGTTCTCAATTAGAGCCTGAAGTGCGACAATACAAGATCCTCTAATACACATCAAATGACTGATTAGGAGAGCGACAGGGAGAGGCTTTGCACTATAAATTCTTATCTCATATGCAAATGAGGCTGGATGGATGGCCCAATTAGTATGCCTACATTATATTTTTTTGTTTTTGTTTATAAATACCTTGTTTTCTCCCAAAGGGATGTTTTCATAACAAGTTAATTATCACTTCAAATCGATAAAGTACATCTTACCTGCTTTGTCTTAAATCAGACTGTGGCAACACATCCCAACAGACTGTATCCATAAAAAGGCAATTTTTCATGTTTGTGAGTCAGAAACAAAAACATGATGTTTACCAAATAAAGGCAGCTGGTGATCGGAATTTCAGAAGGATAAAAAAGGTGTTTTGTTTCTTGACTGAATGTCATTAGAAGTGTGGAGAAGAAGGTGCCTGCGAATAATAACAGTAGTGACACCATTATACAGCATGGTGGCTGAGTGGATAGCACTCTCGCCTCTCAGCAAGAAGGTCCTGGGTTCGAATCCCGGTTGGACCAGGGCTCTTCTGAGTGGAGTTTGTATGTTCTCCCCGTGTCTGCGTAGGTTTTGAAGTCAATAATTCCCTTTGACTGACGTATCCAAAGTCGATGCAAGAGCGAGACAAGAGATCTTCACGTTTAACATCTGCATTTAATTATCTTTACAATCAGATACAGAATGTTCAACAAAAGTGCTCCTATTCTAGGCCTGCTCTTCCCCTGTCCGTGCCCTGTCCTGTCTGACCTCAAAAAAAACACACAGGGGCTCATGAGGGAGACTTCCGATGACGTCATCCTTATGCGTCCAAGGGGTGGAGTTTCCGGGTGTGCTGACGTCCCTTGTCCACTGGGAGGCGTCAGAATGCAGTTGGTGAATCTCCCAGTCTGCCTCAAGATTCAGGTTCTGAACTCTTGTCCTCGTCAAAATGTTTATTATTTAAAGTTAATAATTCGCCCTGTTTAAACAGCATTTTATCTTTATGACTCATGTCTGATTATCCTGTGTCCTTGGGGTTTTTCCTGAGTGCACAGAGGTCTTTCTGGCTATGATGTTCAAATGGTCAAATATTAAAATATACAACAGTTCCCCTCTGTTGACCTATATTAAACCAATTTAGGTCACAATCTTTCAATATTCCTTCTGGGTGCCGAGACTGGGGAGCTCGTCCATCATCGCCTTGGTTCTTGGTTCTGGCTCGTTATCTGTGAAGAGTTAATACAGAAAGAATACACACACAACAACATTCGAAACATTCCTACAAAACTCTTTGATGACCACTGCTGTCATTCTCAGTGGCTCTGTGCCATTTTGTGGGGCTTTGCTCATTTTTCCAAACACATTTTGTTGAACCAGGAAGTGCTGTCACTTCCTTCTCTCAGACCGTTTGGGATAAATGTACATTGTTAATCAAATTGGTATTATCCGTACAGGAGCTAATCTATTTTAGCAGGTTTCTCTGGGGTTAGTCCCTATACAACGGTATTTTGATTCTCTAATCTGTTGCTGACAAATTGACAGCTCTTAAAATTCTCAAAAAATACCTAAATATCTACTTTTGTGCTATACCCAAATACATTAAAATGCTTTTAAATGTTTTTGAATCTCTGTTGTTTCTAATCTATCTCATTAACTTTTGGCATTGTTAACATTCACCTATGTTTGAAACAAGCGAATTTGACAGTATCTAATAAACCTGTGCATAAACTGTAATGAACTTCATCTACCTTTAAAGTAAATACTTTTGGACATAATATGAAGGAAATGGTCCTTTTACCGCTTGATATTAGCCCTGTCTAAAAATAATCTCTATTTTTGAAAGCATCTATCTATTTTATACTCTATTGTGACTCCAAATCTTGGTAGTAGTTTGAGCCAAAGCCTATTCCCAATTTGTGAGTTCTGATTGTAACAATAGCATTGGCAATAGACGATTTTTTATTGGCTGGTTCTTGTTCTGCAAATCACTATTCTATGTATTGTATTTCAGACAATTCCAAAAACAACACAGTCGTTCTCCAATATTAAAGACATACATCTAAATCAAGTTGCCTGAAAGGGATTTTAACTATTTTAAAACGTTTTCCACGATTATAAGGCTATGAAATTAATTATTTAATAAACAAAAGCACATTCATGGCTTCTGTCCGCTGCTTATAACTGTTTAAAGAGTTGTCCCAAACTTAATATGTGTGAATACATCAGCTGTTTGTAATAAACAATAACATTTAACCTGTTCTCCAATGGAGCAGCTCAGAGGCTGCGTCAAGAGCAATGTTATATTTGAGCTATTTTAGATTTAAAATTGTGTTAACGCCTGTCGTTCTATGTCTGCATTTTAATACTACTCTCTATAAACACATCTGCACTAATTCCTACAGATGTGGAAAACAGAAACATCTAAAATCTGACTCCATTTGATTCCTTTTTACTTTAGTTATTAGAACAATTTGACCTTATTGATACTTATTTCCACAATAGAACTATTTTGATTATTCACTAGTCTAACTATTATTACTATTGTTTATTCTGACACCTCTTCTTAGCGACTTTTCAACCTATAGCTCCTCGAATCCAATGACATTATAGCTCCAGACTATTTCATTCTATTCTATTATTATCTTAAAGAGTAGATCTGTTTGATGTTATAAGCGCTATTATTTCTCCTTTTGAATTTGCACAACACTAAATTTAGAATGACCCCCTATGGGACAAATATAGAATTTTATTCCATTTTGGCAACTCCGAAAATTACTTAATAATTTTCCCATTTTGCTTTTTTTTAGGCTGCCCTTTTCTATTATGTATTTGGTCTTGTAAATATATGTTTTACACTTCTTTCTAATGATTTAGA